TGCAGAAGGGACTTACCCTTAGGGCTGAAGGTTTCTTGTGGAAGAACCAAATCCAGTCCTTCCAGGCCATCTGGTGCCTGCAGCAGGCAGGAACACCTCACATTGCACAGAAATATCCCTCATGAATGTTAAGGAGGTGAGGATGGAGGAGGAGTGGTCTTTCTCTTCCATTCTTGTGACAATGGGGATTTTCAACAATCAGCAGTCAAAAGACTGCTCATTTTGGACTGTTGAGCTCCTGTTCATCTACAAGGAATGTCTGCTCAGCTGGTAAATGTGGCAAGTAGAGATTTCAGCAATTAACTAAACATCTAGAGAGGTGGATCACTGTGAGGGACACAAGTCTCTCAGAAAGCAGAGCTCTGCTATTGGGGTCCAGTTCTATCCTGTAATTTATTTGAAGAAAAATGAAAGTGGTGTTTTCTGTTCTGCAAAATCTGTATCTGCAAAATCCAGATATAGTTAAAGTCTAATTCTTCCACTTCCAGTCCTTGCAGGCAATAAAATCTGATTAGGTAGCACAGTGGGACAAAACTAGAATTTATACTTAAATGTGACCTCAAAGCGCTAATAACCCTTTGGAAAGTCTTACTTTAGGACCTCAATCCTCTTTTCCAAGTCCAGGTTGACACAGACCTCCTGGCCCTGGGGGAGAAGGTAGAAGTTCAGTCTCATTCCCAAGAATTCTGATATGGAATGCCCAGGAGATAGAAAGCAGCTATACAAGGTACAACCACCTAAGATTTATATGGGAAGTACAAGGTTGGAATGCATATTGGTTTTGGCTGAAACATAACTACTAAATTTTTTTTTTTTTTTTATTTTTTTTTTTTTTTTTAAATTAGACCTGCAGTGGGGACTGGAACAGGCTAAAGCATCTATCTCTATGGTCTTATCTTTGGAGGGAGGAAAAAGTAATGTTAGAGCTGCTAATGTAAAGTTTGTATTTGCTGCTGAAAATCTGCTCTGGAAAGAAAAAAAAAAAAAGAAACCACACAACCCCTCCACACCCCCAAAAAAAACCCCAAAACCCAATCCCAAATAAAGAAACAAAACCCCCAAAAAAACCAACCAACCAAAAAATAGTGGAGAAGAGAAATCAAAACTTCAGAGTCCCAGGAAATGAGGAATTTCTGTCACTCAAACATTATTAAAAACACCCATCTTAATCCTCTGAATTCTAGTCATCATTTAGCATTTCACTTGCAGCTAAGAAGAGATCAGAAATATGACACTCATATTATTTCCCACTAGGTGTTATGCATAAGTAAAATCATCAGCTCCTCTTTGCTCATCTGAGTGGATTGCAGTCAGTGGGAGTTTTGCTTTAAGCACAGACTGCATGTAAAAGGGCATCTTTCACTGAAGAACTTTTCCTTTCTTGTATTTTTCTTTTGAATATAGTGGAAACTTCCCACTTTAAGGCAGATAACATTACAAAAGAACCCAAAAGAAACAGTTACCACTGAAAAACTGAAAGTGTTACCTACTATTTGATTAGTATTTTCTACTGATGTCATTGAACTGGACTGCTAGGGACCCAGGGATTTTGAAGAGGTCTGTTAAGACCCTGAAATGTTACTAATTCTCTTGAATGGAGAGATAAAAAAATGGCATCTGACAAGGTGCTTTGTTATTTATGGGACTGGTTGTCATATTCACACTGGAGGGAAAAATGGGAATGATAGCTACTTTTTCTAATTGTTTCTATCTAAAATGTCTACCTAAATGTGAGGAATACCCATCAGCAGGCTGATGCTGGTGGGGATATTTGAAACAGGAGCCTGACACTGGCAAAACACAGGAAAAAAAGGTCTGGCATATTAGAGGCAAAGCTGCTGGCTTGCCTCCCAGCTGCAAGCAAAAGGCAGGGTGACCTCCACCTGTGCCTATGGCTTCGAGTGTGTCTCCAGAACAGGTAACTGCAGAGAGGTCAGGTACTTCCCCAAACAGAAGCAGTGGATCTGGAAAGACATTGCTGCCACCTGCTGTGCTACTTTGCTTTTAAATACACAAACCAAAGCCTTGAGTAATATTGATCCTAAAGCTCATGTTTTCGCATTTCCCATGATTTGCCTACTAGGGTTAGAAAAAGATTAATTGTTCTGCAGGTTTTAACCTGATTCTGTGTTAGTGGTCCTTCATTCTGCACTAACCACCCAGAAGTAGTTCACAAGGCATGGTGAACCACAGCTCCTATGTGGCTCAGGAGAGCGCAACAATCATTTCCTGCCCATTACTTGTGGTTGGCAGTGTCACCTGGCTTCGACAGCATTGACCTCCACCACTGGGGTTTGCCTGTGGTCCAGACCACGTGACAGAGAAGGTAAGGAAGGAGGACATCTGTATTAGGATCCTACACCTTATGGCCTTGCCTCCAAATAAAATTAAATGTTTAACTTCATGATCTATTGATTATTTTTAATTTCAAAGCTATTTAATCTTTCCCCACAATACTGTGAGGATGGTGAGGCACTGGAACAGGTTGCCCAAGGAAGCTGTGGCTGTCCCATCCGTGGAAGTGTTCAAGACCACGTTGGATGGAGCTTTGAGCAACCCGGTCTAGTGGAATGTGCCCCTGCCCATGGTATGGTGGTAGAACTAGGTAATCTTTAAGGTCCCTTCCAACCCAAACCATTCTATGATTAATTTTTCAAAATTACACTTCTGTGAAAAAGCTTTTCACTCCTCTGCAGCCGGCAGTTCATTTAGAAGTGTCCAAGTTGTGTGTGCAAAGCCGAACTCCCACTTTCAAACCAAATCTCTGTAAGATTGTTTCTAATCTGAAAAGTGTTTGAAAAAGTGGCACCTTTTTGCTCATGTGACCACTTTTCCATGATTTCTCAAGATCAGAGTTATCAAAGTACTAGAGGCTCATCTGTGTACCGTATTTAAATATTGTGGCATGAATAAAGAAAAACAAAACTGATGCCAGCTGTTCAGCACCGCAGATTATTAACACTCTTGCCTAGATGATTTGAATGACCTCTGAAAAAGTGAAAACATGATGGAGGTAAAGAACATTTTATAGGGACTTGTGCTGTGAAAGACTCTTAGGTGGTTTGATCTTTGATTCAGATTATGGGTATGCACCTTTTACTGTGGACCGTCTGTAAAGAGCACAATACTTGCACAAAGTGTGAAGAACAGAGCAAATGAATGTAAAGAAGGAGTATGTGCAGAGAATGGAGAACTTGGAGTACTTGCATGCTTCATGGTAACTGCTAAACAGAAACTGGTGTAAAATTTAATTGTAACTGGTGTAAGATTAATCGTGGCCTGGAAGAGAAGGCAATAACTGTCAGACTGCACAGAGTTAGAGGACTGTCTGAGAGCTTGGCACTTTGAGGATTGCCATCCATTAGTACTATAATTATGTTATTTTTATAATTCAGGCATGTAACAAAGGGTGATTACAATGTAAAGGAATAAATGTTCTGCCAGTAACATGAACACTGCCTGAATAAATTATTATTATTATAAAAGAATTACTTAGATGTGGAAAAAATATTGAAACAGCTATTTAAGTACTCAATTTGTAACCACCTCATCAATAGGAAGGTGATAAGGAGCAACCATTGTGAGTCTGTCAAAATCAAACTGAGTCAAACTAATTTAACTGCTTTCTTCAGCAGTGTCCCTGGGTTATGGAGCAGCTCGCAAACCAGTAGTAGAGAAATATAGCTTTCGGGACTGGTGGGGAAGTGTGGTACCAGAAAGCTGCTAGGAACACAGCAGCGACTACAGGTAGGTGGTGGCAGCTGTGACAAGGGTATAGATTTGCAGCACAATAACAGGGCTTCAATCAGGTAGCACAGAGAGCAGGAGCAGACTGAATCTGTCTGTTGGCAGCCATCCTCTCAGGACATGACTTCTGATTTTCTCCTGCCCAAAGTCTACAGTGCAGGACAATCGTAAGTAGCTGCATAGGGTGCTGGGACCCATTTGGAGCACAGCACATTAAGAAAGTTGCTGCTAAACAAACCTTTTAATGTTGAGAAAAACATAAAAAAAGATTAAAATATACCAGGCATGTTCAGTCCAGGGAGGAGAGATGATGAGGAAAGTGAGATACATAACAGACTGGCACAAAAAGAATGATGATGAGTTATTCTCCGTATAACTGGCTTGGTCCTTTCAGGTTAATTCAGTATGTTTGGGAAATAACTAGTATAACAGTGAAATACTACAGGAAGCAACTTAAGCTGTGGAATCTATGATATGGGAGGCTTCTGAACAACTGGGGGGCAAACATTATTTAAGAAGGGTCCAGACATACTTGATGTGCTTCAGAAAAAGGGGAATTGAATAAATGGCTTCTACAGTTTCTTTACAATCACGTGTTTGATTCTACAGTTAGCATGAATAACACTTAAGCTTGCATGAATTCACTACATTTTTTAAAGTAAGTTAAACTTACAGGAAGAAAAAAAATAAAACAAGCCATGTAGACTTGCAGCTTAAATTTGGTAAAATAATTCAAGTAACTTGATCTTCAAGTGAACATTGCTGTTCCATGTTGTCAACATCACTGAAAGCAGCTCAACAAATGTAACTGCTATTTCTGAAGTGATTCTGCTAATAAACTAACATAAAAAATTACTTTCTTGCAAGTGATTTTATATTACAATTTAGATTAAGTTTTATTTGCATATTAGTCTTTAAAGGGAACCTAAAGAAAACACATACTAAACCCAAACAAAACCAAAACCCTAAAATTACTAATGACAATGCATACTCACTTTCAAAAATCCTGCTATTTTATGACTGACTTTCTGAACACTGTAATTCCAAACCAAAGTACTTTATTTCTACATGTTATCAAAATACCTGTTTATTTTCAGATTAGAGTAAAACCTCACAGAGGAAAGAAAGGCTTAAAACTGTACATGATTATTTTACAGTTAGTGCTCAGATGCTTATTAGGTTCTGGAGGCAATTTACTAGAGTCATAGATACAAAAATACAGAATCATCTTTATTAATGAGGTATGCATTTGTTCAGATCAGGTTTCTTGGGATACAGCCTTCTATTTGGATTTCAGCTGGCCAGCCATTGTATCTGTTCTTCTTCTTGTCAGAGTGGTTTATCTGTTTAAAAAATTAATAATACAAAAACCACAATATTTGGTACTCCATTTATGAACTAATTTGTCCAGCCTCATACAACAGAAGGGGGTAATGGGGTAGGACTGGGAAGCTAAGTAATACATTGCACATTTTGCTCAACATAATGGGTGAAAATTCCCGCAGTTTCTCTCTCACACAGAGTGCTTTATTTATTTCCTGGATGGCTGTCTTAATATACACTAAAGTGAATACCTTTTTCCTGCAGAAGCTCCGTGAAGAAGATTGCAACAGTAATTTATGAAAAAAACCCAACCAAACAGCTATGGAAGTTTCATGAGCCTTTAGAGGGAGTTGGTATCATCAAGGGAACTGACCTCTATATTGGGTTTTCTCATTTCTGTCAGCCTCTGTCATACAGATGAGCACTACTGGACTTACAGAAAGCGAATACAACAAGGTCACAGATGCAAACAGAAATCTGATGTAAAAATGGTATCTTTAGTCCTCCTGAAGCCTGAGTGCAAGTTATTCAGAAAAGTTTTATAATGCAAACATTGCTGTATTTGCACGGCCAGTCTGAGGCAGCCCAATTTTCATATAAAACCACACTTCATTTTAGGAATCCTTGGAATTTGTTCTTCCAGAAGAAAATGGAAGTCTCTGTACGGCATGTTAGGTTGGACATTTTAAAACTGAAACTCTCTAGAATCACTGGTCACTTCTGAAATTTGTGTAGAGATGTTTTAGTGCTGGTGTGGTAGAAGTCAGTGCTGTACATGGTGCAGATCCAAAGCAAAGAATGATAACACATTGAACTTACGTTGTGCAAGTGAGGCTTACTGAACAGACTACAGTTATTATAGCTAACACATGAAATCTGCACCTGAAGGTTATACTTTATATGCAGACAAACACAAAGTGAAAATAAAATGAACCTGACCTTTTCTTTTTGGATGTCATCGGGGAGTTTGAAGCCTTTGGCAGCTATAAAGGCCCAACTTGACCTGAACTTCATATTCCATATTTCTTTGCTTCCCAGCTCTTCTACTGACTTTTTGGTGTCATTTTTCAACCTAGGAAAATGGAGTGTAGAAAAGTGTTAAAAATTCAGTATGTGAAAAATGCTGAACAAGAAACCAGCTGATTCATGCTTTACGTTTTTAAGTCAGCAGAAGCAAAAATGAGAAGTTTAAAAAACCCTGAGAGCTGTTACACTTCCAGAGCAAAGTACTTTTTCTTTCTCCTCTCTGCATTCCTGATGTTAATACAGCCAGTTTGTAACAGCAGAGCAGAAACAAAAATGTATCCCAAATACTATTTGATGTTTCGACCTTTCTTAAATAAGGACAAGGACATCAACTGTTTATCAAATGAATGATTAAGTCTTCCATGGTACAGTTGCCATATCATGAATTTAACTAAACCACTCAAGATGCACTTGAAGAATCAGGTTAAGATGTCAGAAGGAATGCAAACTAGATACATTGTAATTGGAGGTGTGGACACCTTCTTAATAGAAGGTTACCTCTGTGACCCAGAGGTAAGTGCAGCGCCCTTTAGGAGGACAACTAGTGCTTTTAAACAAATATAACACTATCCATCTTTGGAAGCATCGACGTACATGATATAGGCAGGCATGGAATGGACATGGATTAAAAAAATTTTTAGGCAAGAAAGAACAACCCTGACTATAGAGTGAAATTTACCATTCATTTATACCATTATGCAATTGTAATATTCAAGCTATACATTGCTCCGTTCCTCAGCCTGTCATGGATAACTTGCTTACCGGGTGCTTCCATCATCATGAGTCACCATCAAAAGGAGGGACTCTTCTGGTGCATTTTTAATGAAAGTCATCATCTCTCCTGAGTGGTCTGTTGAATCAATCACAAAGTGATTATTCATTACACACAGATCACATTCCACCTACTTTGAATCTGCTTTCACTTTTTGGCCTCATCTATTCAAAATGAGACCTAATTAGGCATTTTTTTTCTGTTTACAGGTAGAAGGCCTAATCCCGAAAAGAACAGAAAGCTGCTATCTCTCACTGAAGGCTAGGAAAGCATGGGCTGATCTGCACTTCCCAGTAGTAAACACAGGTACTTCTGAACTTCCACAAAAGTCATTTACATCCAGGGTAAGTACATAGGTGGCTTCTTATGCTTACCTCACGCAATATTTATACATGCAAGCTAAGCATGGAATGGCCCAGGAGAAGTCATTGCTATTCTGTGAGCTTACTACTACCATGCTAACTACAGAGCTGAGTTACACACTTCACTGTCCACCCACTTTGATTAAGTACCAGCCTATTTGCAGCACTAAGCTATTCATTTGTTTTGCAATTGACATACACAAGACACTTGTCCTCCATACAAAAAATAAAGGTAACAAGCACCCTGGAGACATTGTCTACATACTTGTCTACATACTGTATATAAATTGTAGCCCCATAATTAGCCCCAGTGTCATTTCTATTCATGCGCATAAGGTCAAAAGCGTTCTTAAGTGGTCAGAGAATCAGCTTCCAGTGCCTCATAGCATTCTGTTTTTCCTTACTAATGGTTAGGAGGCTGCTATCATTCAAAGTTTGGAAAACATGTTAAGAGCTAGTCTTAAAGTAGATCATCTTTCTAGCTACAGGAAGGATGTTAAGAGACAGACTAGCATATTTCTTATGATGATTTTACAACTAAAATAGAAGAAAATATGTCAAGAAAAGGAATTTTCATGAGGGATGCATCTGGATGTGGTACCTGATTAACTGCTATTCCTACCAGACTGAAATAATGGACGGAAGGGGAAGACACTTAAAAAATGGTAATTTGACAATTAAAATAAAAGACAACTATCTAAATATAGGAGAAATTCAGCTTTTCCGAAAAAATTTGTCATCAGATCTGGCCAGAGCGTATTTTATGAAGAAAACAGCTGTTTGTTTCTAGCTGATCCCCATCCATAATGCAATCACAGTAATTTGAAAGTGCAAGATAATCATGTAAGTCATTTCTTAACACTGAAACACTAACAAAAGCTCTGTTAGACTCTTTTCCTTACCTCCTTCCCACATGTCAAAAAATTTTGCTGAGATAACTTTTCCTGTTTTATCTGTAATTAAAACAAAAAGCTGTATAAATAGGAGCAAAACATTATTAAAATCAATCAGAATATACAGTGTTTTCAGCTAAAGCTAGCACCTCTACTTCTGTGTACTACTGGGCCTCTGAGATTTCTTTTGCTTACATTATTAAATTGAAAGGAATACGGAATAATATCAATTTAAGATTTGGAGAGAATATTTTGTTTCATGTAGTCTCTGAATCACCAAATTAAAAAGATATTTTTATTACTTTTTATTTTAAAGAAGAAATTCCATTTACTGTGTGTGTCCATGGTTTTGCATCTACGTATACTAAATTAGATCACAACCATAAATAGGAAAAATGGTTACACCTAAGACTATCTGACTGAGCTCAATATTATTCTGTGCAGTGTTTCAGATGTGAAGGCTTTCATACCATTTGAATGTCAGTGGACAGAAACCCAACATTCATTATTACTGCATCAGAAATTGCACACACAAACAAAAAGTAACTCCAAAATATTTTGGTCAATATTCATCATTAATTATGTTTTTGCTTAGATGGCTATCTTTATTTAAACAAGACATGTACAATTGGAAACACTTTTCAAATTTCTAAATCCATGTCAACTGTGTTAAACTGATTTTTGTTATCCAAGACCCTGGTTGGATTCCTGCTATGTGAGAGGGTCTTTTCAATTTAGAGTGCATCAGCCCATTTCTATTGAGAAGATCCAGCAGTTCCTGATTCCTTTCTGGCTGATCTTTGAACCACATAGTGTGAAATCATGAAAGCAGATTCTTTCGAACATAGGACTCTAAATGGAAAGTTTATCATGTGGATGAAGGAAAAAGGTGGCAAAAATCTGTCAGCAGTAAAACAGCAGTCTAGAACTGGGCTTATTCTGAGCAGAGATCACAAAAAACGTTTACATAAAAAAGTATGTCTGTGTCTTGCATCTTCTTCTCTTACTTACAATTCACAATGGCAATGTTTATACCTCTTCCAACATTACCCTTCTCTTCACTTATAAGCCTGGAATTGAAGTAAACACAGTATCAGTAGAATGCATCCGTCCAGAAGCCCTGATCCAAAGTTATATTTGCCAGTGCTAAGTCATTTACTGATGCTCATATTTTCTTTGTTTATTTAATTCAAGACTGTGTAGCAAGCAAGATCTATGGCATAAATATCTTGCACATTTTATCAGTTTCCTTCAACCACGCACAATGAATGAGTATGGGTTACATACTGTAAACTGGCTATACTGCACCATGAAAATTAAAAATCATACTTGACACTAACAGTTGAATGCATCTTATGCAGAGGAACAAAGAAAATAACCTGATATTAGGTATTAAAAAAAAAAAGTCGGGGGGTGGGGGTGGGTGGAAGAATTAAATACTGCCATACATATTCTGAAGCTCCTTGCTAAGAGCTTCCTTTGTGCTACTGAACCAAAATGAAACACCCTTCTTCACACTATAAAGCACTTGCTTAGATTGAAAGTTAAGACTGTTACTCACAGCTCATCCTCAAAACAAATTTTGGCCAGCTTTCCTTTGCCACCACCACTAAGAATCCGATAGGTGTAGCTCCCAGGTAAGCAGGGAGACCAGTGATCACATTTCTGTCTTTTGGGGACTGGGGCTACAATAAGAAAGATAAGAAAAGGATTTCTTGGATGCTGCATAAGCTATTTATTTATGGAAAGAATCACTTAATACCAACATGCTAAGCTCAAACATATATACACAGAACTCTGTCCTGCTGGTTTTCCAGTCTCATGGGGTGCTGGTTTTGGCTGGGGTAGAGTTAATTTCCTTCATAGTAGCTAGTATGGGCTGCGTTTGGAATTCGTGCTGGAAACAGTGTTGACAACACAGGGATGTTTTAGTCTCTGCTGAGCAGCTGCTTACACAGGTTGAAGGCCTTTTCTGCTCCTCACACCACCCCACCAGTGAGGGCTAGGGGTGCACAAGGAGTTGGGAGGGGACACAGCCGGGACAGCTGACCCCAACTGACCTAAGGCATATCCCATATCATATGGGGTCATGCTCAGCATATAAAGCTGGAGGAAGAAGAAGAAAGGGGTGGACATCTAGTGTGATGGCACTTTTCTTCCCAAGTACCTGTCACATGTGATGGAGCCCTGCTCTCCTGGAAATGGCTGAACATCTACCTGCACATGGGATGTGGTGAATAAATTTTTTGTTTTGCTTTGCCTGCCTGCACGGCTTTTGCTTTACCTATAAAACTGTCTTTATCTCAACTCATGAATGTTATCACCTTTACCCTTCGGATTTTCTCCCCCATCCCACCGGGGGAAAGTGGGTGAGTGGCTGTTCAGGGCTTAGTTGCCAGCTGGGGATAAACCACAACACATGACAACATTATCTTAGATTTACTGGGGCTTTAAATTGTCATTGACTTTCAAACAGCTGCTGAGACCAAAAGCAAGCTTATTTAGGGAAAAATGCGCCTTATAATATGATTTGATTCGAATCTAGAGTGATTATTTTGTGCTATTTCATATAACAGGAAAGAAGGGCTAGATGGTTGAAGGTTTACTACCAATACCTTGAAGTTCATAGTTATCTCATTTTAAGCCTTTTTCACATGATGACATAGTCATAAAATGAGAAAAATGTACATATTAAGCCACCCAGTCAGATCTGAGAGAAAAAGTAATGAGAATTTTGCTACAAAGTGTGGTTAGTGATTCAACAGTTTACCATAAATGTAAAATACATGTGATAGAGCCAAAGCTGCAGCTATAGCTGTGTGCTGATATGCCAGCAAACAAATAAGGTGTTTATAGGCTGATATTGTGTTTCATCAAAGATAGTGTCTAAGAAATAGTTCAGACTTGTACTTTACACAGCCAACTTGATTTTTACAATAGCACATACCAAATCATTTGTTAGCTAACAAGCCATTTGTCATTTAGCATGTAAATAGACAACACTGGATATAGTATAAGGGAAAAAAAAAAAGAAATACAACTACACACCCCTCAACACTGGTTTCCTTCCAATGTCTTGAAGATTAACCATAGGTGTTAATGCGTCTTTGGGTAAAAGAGCAGCAAGTAAGTATCCCAAGTACCAAGCAGCCAACAAAGTCACCAGGATCCCTCCTAGTTTCACAACATCTGACAGGAAATGGGGGGAAGAAAACCACAGACACATAAAGATGCTTTCATAGCAACACACAAACTCTTGTATTTTCTCTGGCATTGCTTCAGAAACTGGCTACTTTACTTCTGACAGGCTATGTTAACCACAGCCTACAGAGGCAAGAGTATTTATTTGTTGCATTCCCATCTCTGACGACCCCTTTTGTTCCTAAAACTTGATCTTCAAGCAGAGCCCTCCCCCCATGACTCCTCTCAATCCACACCGAATATACCCCAAAGAAACATGAAGTTCAACTTAATCCTCACAGGATTTTGACTCTGGAATTTAAGTACCAGATATTACACATAGGTATACAGGTGGTATGCAGTTACTATTATTTTCTGTGTCAGACAGATACTGCAGGAATGGTTTAAAACACCAACCATACGAGGAACTCCATTCACCCTTTTGACACGCTGGGTAAAAATAACTGAAGAAGGCCCAAATAATTTCATTCACACAATGAGCTCTGCCTACATTCTAACCTGACTAGAGTGACTGTTTCACCTTCTCTCAGTTACATCACAGCTTCCCTGGGCTGTATTAGCAGTGCATCTATACACTATGAAAGCAATGGGCTTCATAATTTTCCCATGAAAAAATATAAATAAATTCCATATTGGGTATCATCTCCTCTTCCTAATCATCATAAATGCTAACATGCATTCCTGATCTAGAAGAAATGCAGTACTTAATTTGTAATGTTAAACAAGGAAATATCATGCTGCAATTGTGAAAAACTGTTGTTTGTATGCCGAGAGATTTCCTGATCTGTAAAGAAATATGCCCTTGAACAAAATGATCTGTTAAAAGGAAAAATGAAAATTTTTAGTTTCATAGTCCTGAAAATCAAGTTCAATGGAACCAATGTCCAGAAATATCCAGCATGTTCACTTTGCCAATCTGCTAGGACATATTGCGTATTATCTAGCCTGAATCTTCCTTGAACCAGTTTACACTCACGAAGATATTCGTTTCTTTCTTGGAACTACACCTAAGATTTCTGCCCTACCCTTTCTCTAGAATAAGGCCAAATTGTTCACTTGCTCTCCTCGAGTCCTGTTCTGCAGGTCCTACCACTCTCCCGTGAATTCTGCCAAATTAGTCTGCTTCTTTTACTGCAGAAGGGATACACTAGTCCAACACACACATTCTAGAGGCTCTAGTCCTGATTATTCATGCCAGAAGGAAGTTGGAACATTGAAGTTATGAACATTGAAGGTTATTCTGTAAATAATTCCAGTTTCTCATTTCCTGCATCAGAAAAAAAAAAAAAGGAAAAAAGAAAAAAAAAAGAGGACAGTAAACCCTTTTAGAGATACTGATCTGAGCTCTTAAAATGTTCTGTGACATTGTATTCACTGTATTTAGGAATCACAAGTATGTGCATTTGTGTGACTGTAAGAAAGATACTGTGAGAAACTTACTATATTTTCATCAAAGGATTAAGATTGAGAAAGTAATATAATGACTCTTCAGAGATATAAGACATTTTCCAGTTATTTCCTCAGTCTAGAGAAATCTGTCTCACTCTGCCACTGGTAGTGGTACAAACCTACACTAAAATAATACTGAAAATTACTCCAACATTTCACTCCTACTGTGAAAGCGGACAAGAACACTGACAAAGTTCACATGCACAAAGAAGGAAGCCTCCAGAACCAAGCAGAATGAAACT